AATCGAAAAAAGTGCGTTTTGAAAAATCACCAAATTTTCCATCGTCAATACACTGGTATTTTTATCGAGAAACCGCCCCCGCGGCCGGACGCGTTGGCAAAGCCTACAAGACGGGTAAAACACGATTGCGTCCGTTCGTTATCGACGATACCTTTTTTAAGCCACACGATTCCGTATGGTTTTACCTGATTTTTAACTACACGATTTCGTATGAAGTTTTAAACGTTAATGCCAATTTTCATACCGATATTGGTGTATACCAAATGCCTATACGAGAGAACTTAAAAAATATAATAAATACTTTGTGTTTTATTGCTTTTATTACCTATGTTTATTGTTAATGATATCAAATATATCAGATATAATGAAATTTCGTTATTTCCGATATATTATACGGTATTTTCCGAATTTCAGTAAAAGTAGTAAGTTATAGATGTTAAGAAATCCAAATTTAAGCATTTTCAAATAATTTATTAACAATAATTTCATTCAAATAAAAATTGTCGATTTTATTTATTTATTAATTAATTTTCTTTTATTTAGTTATCCTTATTTTATTTATTATTTTATTATAAACTTTTTTTATGAAATATTATATAACGAAATTAATATGTGTATTCTATATTTACATTATTATTTAGTTTTATATACTTTAGTATTATTAGATATAATAAGGTGAAATTAGTAAATTTGATAATATTGCATACAATTTCATACGCAATCATGTTTATTTATTTTTCTTACCCACCTTTTTAGATACCCATCTACAAACGTACGCAAACATGTTGTATCTCACGAGGTGATGGTAAAACACAATTGCGTATCCGAAAAGCGGATCGCAAATCATATGTATGTTTATGCGCGTGTTTGCTGGTGCAGCGTGTGTAATGAGAGGCGAATGTAAAAATCGTGTTAACGTCGCGACCAAGAAAATTTTGCCGCCGCCGTTACCACACGTAAAAATAATATCGTAATAGTAATAATAAATTCAAATCAATACGAACTTGCGGCGGCGGTAGTGGCAGCGTGTGTATTTGGGTATACGTATTATTTTTGAACAAATACGGTTAAAAACCGTTAGCCCGTAGTCGTACCCCGCGATTTATGCACATTGCACTACACTTATATATATCACATCTTCACCGCTTTGACCAACTGCGGTTTATTATATCGTATGGTTGCGGTCTGATCAGGCAGCTGTCTCTTTTTTGGATCGGACGCGAATTCCAAGAAATTTACACCATCCCTATCGTAGGTCATGCTCTCTGTTTGCCCGTCAGTTAAAACCCCGTCGCTTAAGGATGAACGTTTTCCTCGAACGATATGAATAAATCCGTAATCTTCACCGGCCGTAGCCGCCTAGGATCTTGAGCAAAGGTTCCCAAACTTTTTTTCACCATAGATCACGTGCCAATTTTTTCCATTTTCGTAGACCCCTAAAATTAAATTTTTACAAATTCATCTAGGTGTTTTTCATAACTTATACGGAACTGCTCACCTGAATAGGCTTTACTATGGAGTGCATTTTTTTGAAAATAAAAAACGTATTATTTTTAATTATACATTTAATGAAAATATTTAAATAATTTTTTTTAGTAATTAAAACGATAAGAAATGCAAATTAAATAAATAAAAATAATAGAAAAAAAAATCAAGTTTGGTGTTAAAAAAATACATCTTTCATAGGAAGAATGATCCTGATTCTTTGATAGTAAATTTTCAATAATTGTCTTAAAATTAGTCAGGTTTAACCTTAAATCTCTTCTATCAGTGATTTCCAATCTATTACATTTTTTTGTAAGAAGATTGACAGCTGTATTGAACCCCTTTCCATGCAGTATGATGACGGAAAATCAATCAAAAAATTTCTTTCGATATTCCATAAAGAAGAATAAGTAACAGGTATGTCCCTCTGAAGGCAGAACTGCTGATACCCATATATAAATGTACCTTAAGTTCATCATTAATATTTATTACGATCAGTTCTTCTTATAAGTTCTTCTCGCACACATTTTTGACTTATAACTCTCGTGGACCCCTATTTACACATGATGCACCCCCAATTTTCTTTTTTCGTTGACGTAGACCCGTTATAGATTAGAATCGACCCTAGAGGGTCGATATAGACCACTTTGGGAACCTGTGTTCTAGAAAACAAACATCACCCTCCTCCACCCATGTGATTCAAGAATAATCAGGTTGTATGCAAACTTTCACATTTTATTTATTTTATTTTTTTGTTACAATACGTTATCAATATACTTTCCGTTAAATTTTATAAAATCGTACGCATTTAATTACATTTTTTAAATCCAGAATTCACTATTGTTTATTCGGCTAATAAAACAATTGTTTTGAAATCGAACATTTTTTTTCTTCATTTTTATCGAAGTAGAAGCATTAAAGTGCGATTTCTTTGGACGCGTCTGTAGACGCGACTGACGCGGTGCGATTTGAATTTTTGCGACGCGACTGAGTAGGTATTCCGTACAATTACAAAACGCAGTCACAAGAGACGCGTGGCAGGTATATAATATACATTGTTATCAAAAGACATTTTAAAATTATATAGGTAAATCAAATAAACGGTATAAAATTAACAAGTCAAAGATAATCGGTCGCGCGTCTAGTGCCTTTTGACCGCTTACCAAGCGGTCATCAGTTGCGCGATTAGAAACGCAACCACCGCGTGGCGGTGTTGGGAATAGGTTTCATTTAAAAATAGGAAAAACAGTTAAAATTGGAGTCACGCTACGTCAGCCGCATCGGTCGCGCGTCTATAAACGCACTCTAAGGAATTGCATCTTTAAAAAAATGAGTTTCCAATAGTCACTATAATTTAGAAGTACTAAAGTATTCGATTTTCTAATTTTGATCAGTTGGATAATTCTAAATGATGAGACAATTTGAAATCACACTTATCATGTTCTGGAAGGTATTTTTGTAAAATAAAATAAAAAATAAAAAATGGACGGTCTCAGAATAAAATAATTTGCGTCTTTATTTTCTATCTATGTATGCTCACTCGCATTGTAATCCAGTTGATGCACTGGAAAGAAATAATTAGATAGTAAAAAGGTATATTTAATCTATCGAAGTGTCATCGCCTTTTTCACTCTCGCCAATATTATACATGCTTACGACCGAAACCACCAACGATTAATCTTGTTGTACGGTAGAAATAATAATAAATTACAAGTAACCATGGGCGTGGTGTTATCGAAAAAGATTTCAAAAATGATTAGGCAACGCATTAAGGCTGTAATCCGTGGGAGATGGGAATCTCTAAGGAAGACCGCAACGAAAACGTGATGTGTTTGGTAATCATGAAAATATATAATACGATTACGGTAACAAAGCACGTGATTCGTAGATGACCATAATGATATAGCCCACAAACGGTATACGCTACCGTACACAGTCCTATACAGGCCCGTACTGGCCCATTGAGCGACCGGGCAGATGCACGACGCGCCGATGAAAATTACGATGCTCGATGCGCCCATAAAAGTGACCGCTACATTAAAATTTTGGAGAGATATCCATTGTTTCTCATTAACAAGTAATAATCCGATGGTCTTCAGTAATACGTAATTGAAAAACGTTTGTATTTTTGTGAAGACAAGCGTAACACCTAAATTATGATTCTTTAATCTGTAATCTATTGGGCCATAGTTAACCTGAAAGATTATATAACAAAAATTAAGCTGCCCTTAAATATTTTCGTAGCCGCCCCATAAGAGCAGCCAGTACGGGTCTGGTACTATACCTACATATTTATGTAGAAGAGCGTATTGGTCTCATGGGCATAGTGTTATCCATGTGACGAATACGCAATTTTTGGTTTAGAACAGTATGGGGAAACTCGATAGCTGAAAATTTCATAAATTGTCACCGCCGTCAATGAACACAACACTACGTTACACAATACTGTGCGTGTGAATTATTATTTGCGTAAGCGTTGTCGACGTTTGTCCTGGTGCGAGGAAAAGGGATGCGGTCTGACGTTCTTGACAGATTGCAGTACAACTGTAGTGTAAATAACAATGTATAATGATAGGTGTACCGTAACATCAACGCTAATATTTTGATAACAAACGTTGTCGATTACACGTGTAATTATCCTGCCAATTATATATTATACATGTAGCGTTTAAATTACAAACAAAATTACAATCGAACACGTATCGATAATCGTTTATTGTGCACACATACATAATAATTGTAAATTTTAAACTAGGAACTATCACACTAAACGTGATGTACTACGTTCACTAACCGCATAATCCGATCGAGTCACACCGAATCACCGGAATTGTATCTCGGCAATTATAATGATAAAAATAGTAACAGTAGCTCTGATAAAACAAACTCATTAAAGAATGATAAAAATAGTAGTATTGTGAAGAATAATAACTAGGCCGGGTCACACTTTTATTTTTCTACAATAGATATATAATACATATGATTTTTTGGTTGTTAAGTTTTTGTGTTTATTTTTCATTGGTTTAATTTTACAACTGTATTTTTTTTTCCGGATTTTACAGATTTTTGATCATTAATCAATCTATATAATTATGAAGGTAAACATTATAGTGGTTAATCATTGATATTACGTTTTAAACTCATATCAATGCTATTTTTATTGTAGAAAATACAAAAAACCAGAACCAGATCCAACAACTCAAGAAATCAAGATGCAGATCAGGATTTCGTTTCAAACACAATATCTAACGATAAATTAGACAGTAATAAATTACGTTTGACGAATTTCAATTGTTAATTGTTATAATTGTTTTATAGATGCCAACAAAAACACGGTGAACACCAATGAAAATAGATTGGGAGAGATGAATGCTTACATAAATGCTTTGAAGCTACACACACAAAAATTATCAGGTACCTGCTGTATAATAAACAATATGTAAAAGTTTTACACTAGAACCGACAAAGGTTGATCAAATGATTATAAAATATATGTTTTTCGTCATTAAAAAGATATGGTTGAAAATATAATCGAAGCCGTGGATAGTTCTAAAGAAGATTATACGGAAAAAATATGTATACGGGAAAAAATTTCAGGTACGTTTCAGAAATAAACCAACGGTAATATTTATTCGATAATCTCTATATTTGTAATAAACAAAATGAAATGCCAGGAAAATGGCACAATAATAAGATCAATTATTTTAATATCCGATATGCAAATCGGCCGTCGGCACATGAAATATTTGACATTTGGAGATTAAACTGTGTAACGACAAAAACTTTCATAAATTGTAACGGTCGTCAAAATAATGAATCATAGACAATTATCATTTTTATTTTATTAATTTTTAATTTTAATAAGAATTATTTTACCAATTAAGTTGTATTGCTACGTTATGTGATTGACATTTTATTGCAAAAGAAAAATTTACAGCTAAAATTAAAATGCGCTCGTTGTATAATATCAGAGGTAAATTTGTACATCATGCAAGGACAGTGATTTTTTCTTATCATATCATTGACAATTAAATAATATGATGATGTATATAGAATATTAAAAATTAGAATTTTTTCGTTCCATGTCGTAAATTTATATTATTTTATATAATAGTAATTCACAACAGTATATTTTTGAAAGAAAAACAAATATTAAATCTCTTTAATGATGGTTTTATAATATACCTTATGATGAGAATAAATACTCTTAAAATCTTAAAAGGTAAAAAGTCGAAATTGGAGCATGGAGTTCCACTAACGGTCGAACCTATAATAGTGCATGACGTGAGTCACATTGTTATCGATGCATTTAGAGATTACTTATATCGCGAACTTCCCGGCAACAAAAGAAAATTATTCGACTCACAGGTAAGCATTGGAATAAGCAAACGATGTAAAATGTCACATATTTGAGATATAATATCAAGATTAAAATATATATATATACCATACACATATAGAGAATATGACGTAGAGTGAAAAAAATATTTTGCAACTGGTACATCTACTAATTTGAATACTACATTATATTGCGTGGACTATACGTGCGTAAAACTGCGCTTGATAACGGTCCAAAAAAGATGTTCTGCATCAATGTACTGGTAAATTTAAATTGGTGGTGAGGATTTTCAGGCAAATTTTCGGATACATGGATGATCATCAGCAAATTTGGATGATATTGTAATAGATTTTGAAATATTTTGTTATAAAGCTGGTCTGTTTTGTTCACTAAGAGGAAGTACAGAAAGTCGTCATTAAGTTTTTTATTTGACCTAAAGATAACGCAAAGGACTTTTGATTTAAACATTTTTATTTTTGTTTATATTTTTTCTTTCATGTCGGACTTCAGTATTTGATTTTGTGTAATATTTTTATTGCAATTGAAAACAGATTTTTAGTGAAAATGTGCTTTACAATTACTAGATGGAATTTTAAACACAAGATATGCAAACGATAATTATGGTGTTTTTAAAAATACTATCTAATATTAAAATCAAAGGATAGAGAATTCAGTTTTAATCAATCGTGAGCTGATTTTATGTTATATAATGTATTATTCGTCGCAGGAGCTCAAAGAGCATTTATCTTTAATTGAAGACATCCGGCGTGCGGAAAAAGACGTGATGGAAGTACAAGAACTCCTTTTAAGGATGGACGACAAAGGTGGTAGTTATGGACTGAAGTCGTGGAACGTTGAAAACTACTTCCTCCTATGTCCACGAACTTTCGTTAAAAACACGAACGAGAAAAAAGAAAGTGAGTAAATTTAATTTTAATGTGTTTCTCGTCACTGGGTTCTCAGCGGATTCCGTTAAAATTAGATGAAAACGTCAAGAAACAAGCAACTGTCGTATACGGTATTCACACAAAGCTGAGACAACTCAGGTTGCATTTGAACAGAGTACGACCTAGGTTTGTCATAGAAAGGTAAACCTGGTACCGCGATGCAGAGAATAAACGTTATTTGATCTAGGTTAGACGTACAATGTCACAAGTCCAAAATCGTACAGACACATCCGGTGGTAGAAAACCCCAAAGAGATAAGCTTGTTTGTTAATACCAATATTGTTCGCTTTAAACGTTTTTTTCCTGGTGGCATTTATAAGGTAATCATTAATTTTTTCATCAAAAATATGATATTATATATAAATTTTATATTGGCTCTTTAACTATTATAAAAATGTATTCTTACGAGTAAATAGTATAAAATAGAAGAAAATTGTCTTTCTGTTATTATTTAATTTCAATGACGCTACTTAGGTGCCTATACTTTCATCGAAATGATAAAATATACGAGACTTTAAAAAAAAAGATTAACATTTGTATAGTACACCACTTTAATATATTTATTTTTTAGATTCTGAGTAAAGCGAAGAATGTAATGCTTTTACAATGATGTTTATTTCTTTTTCATTTTCTTTTTCTTTTTTATTCTGTAAACACTTTCTCTCCCTCTAAACTTGCTCAAAAGTATCAAGTGTAGCATTTTTTCTAAAAGTTAATGTTCTTGAGCTGGTATTTTAGAGAGGTCATTTTTCGATTTTCGAAACGGTACTCGAAATAAAAGCGGTTATAGAAGAAAAAGCGTACAATTTCACGATTTTATAATATTAAATAATTACGGATGACGTTTTCTACCACAAATATTACTTCAAATTAAAAATGACTGGAGATCTTTTTTGTTGTATTTTGAATTTTGTTTCTCATGGTTGAAAATTTGGTAAATTTTAGCCATTTTTGAGCTATTAATAGACATTTAAATTTTGGAAGTTTTTTGTTATAATTCGGTTAAAACATTTGTAAAACCATGAACTTTAGGTTATTTACTTATATAATCCTTACATAGACATGGTAAAATTTTCAAAACATTTTTGTGACTTTTGAGTTTATTCTTTTATTTAATATTTTTTTTCATTTTTATGATATTTCCTAATTATAAATTATAATTATATAAATTACCTTTTTATATAAATCGTTCATAAGCTGTTCTTAAAACGCTTTGTATATCACTATAGAAACGAATAAAATTAAATAAAAAAGATTCCCTTATCTGCTCAGAATAGTTTTTTATCGAATGCAATCATTGCATTCAAATCGAATACAGTAAAATTACACTTAACTGTCCGAGTTATTTATATTATCATTTCACTTAACGAAATTGATGAATAATATTTGATTTATTTTGGTTATGTTTAAAAAAAATACTTCATCCACAGAGTTCGTAATCCGTCATTGTCATATCTCTAACATGACAGTAATATTAGGTTACATAACAATAATATTATTTTCTATCATTTTGCGAAAATTAAGGGTTATAAAGTACACGCATGTTTAACCCTTCGTTAGTCACCTCATTAAATAATAAACGTATTAACAATTTTAGTCACTTAGGGTAATATAATAACACATAAACTTATTATATTATATACATATTTATTTTTAAAATTAACAATTAAGTAGATCGAATTATTTTTGGCAGAATATGTCTTACTTTTAATGTATATATATATATATATATTTTTATTATTTCAATAGTTTTGACGATTTATTAAAATATTTTAAGCATAATATCAGCATTTATCCTATACTCATTGAAAATTACCAACCATTATTAGTAACTTATCTAGTTTATTGTTTAATTTGTAATGTAATACCAATACATTAATCTAGTCTTTAAAAAAATAAATACCCATGTAATAAAAATAAACCCAAATAAATTGTTTGGATTGTTAAAAAATTAAGGTTTATTTGTGAATTAATTTTTTTAAAGACCCAAAACGAAAATGGTCACTGAAACAGTAAAATATTACCAAAATCCATTTTTACTGACTATGTTTACCTTTTGATAATGTATTTATAATTATGACAATTAAAACCTCACATTTAAACTTTATCACTTATGAGGTTACGGAGGTAACGGAGGTGTGCATTATGTTTTGACCTCGAAAAAAATATTTTAAATATTTATTTAATATATTCACGGTAATAAAATACTGCAAGGTAACTATACCGAAGGGTTAGTAACCAAACGTTGTGTTTAGAACGGACAATCGAAACCGTAACTCGTGTAGTTATACAAAAACAATGTTAACGGTTAATAAGACTAAAATAGGCAACAAACTTTGTGTGTGAAATGAATAAAATTATTTCTGTGTATTAGAAAACCATTACGGTCATAAACATGGGGGAACGGATGACACGATTCGAGTTGTCGACGTACGGTGGTGGTTCGAACGGAGCGTTCGTTTACGAGTATGCGCCCAGACGTCAACTAGCATCCGGCATGAAGGCCAAAATTACCGTGACGTTTAAATGCACGTCGTTGGAGGACATTTACGAATTGATGATCATTAAGTCGTCCAAAGGAAATGACAGAACGAACGTTCTCGTGTGCGCGGAAAATTCAGTACCAGTGTTACAATGTAAGTGGATGATATAATCATAACGCCGTTAATATTTTATGTAGATAATTTTGTTTAAGTACGTAATGTAAAATTTATGATTTTCTTGAATTTTTATTATTAATTAAACCGTAGAAAAATGTACAATCTGTATGCATATACTCGTATGTACGATAAGAAATTTTTTGGATTTTTTTTTTTTTTAATCTCGACTAATCGCATGAGAAAAAGGGGGTCAATTAACAATATTTATAATATGAACTCAATTTATTTTGTACTAGGGATACAATCACATGGTCATTTTAGTTTAAGTCTATGGAGAGGATTGTCAGGTAAAATATGGTTAATGCTAGATTGGCGTTGATAGAATTATAATGATTTAAGACATTTTTGAGGAATTTATTGTGATTATAAGATGGCATTGTTGATATCTTTCGAACGTTGCATTCTCATGAGATCATGATGCAAGGATATTTTACTGACACTATCATAAGGCATTATTGAGAAGTTCTATGTTTATTGATTGGAATGGTTGCAAGGTTTTTAGATTAGAGTTTTTTGTAGTACCCTAAAATTGAATACCTTACGTTATCACAGGGCGTATCAATTTCTTATAAATTAACATTTTGTTATTTATTGCTATTTTTGATCGGATTAGTTGTCTTAGTTTGTAAAGTTTAAGGTTTAAATTTATGATTGAAAATTGTTTTTTGATTTATTATTTACGACCTAGATAGATTTTTCTCTTTTTTATTGATACTCTTTAAAAATGAGATGATACCTCCTCACCTATACCATTTGCTCACACTAAGACACCACACCCCTTGCTCAAAACGATGTTGTAATGTAATATTTCAATATGCCTTGTAGATTTTAAGATAATTATATTATACACGTCCACGGAGCAATAAAACAGCGTTATTATATATACGATACGATAATAGGAAACATTTTGAAGACCGAAAACGCTAGAAGTCTGTCCGATAACAGTATTATATTTTTAGTCTCTCGTTTAGTTTTGATTAAAATATTAAACAACATTCTCGTAATGTATGTACTAGATGAGTTTTGATCGCATATAAATTCTTGAAAGTTGCGCCGAAATGTACATAGAACTGTATTCTAGGGGTTCCGAAACAGATTGTGAATTTTTAATAACTCTTTGTTTGTATGTGTCATCTAGTTCTGACTGACTTATCAAGATGGTTAGAAATTTCATATGAATCACAATAAACAAATAAGTTCGCAGAGATATTAGAAAATCAATGATCAAATTGATTTCCTAATTTCGGGTTCACGACAGTGTATAACACTATAAAATAACTGTTTAATATAAAACTTCACGTGATTTCCGTTGCATTTGAAAATGCATATTAATATGATATATTAATATGCATTTTTAGAAGTATACATTGTATACTTTTGTTTATTAGTTGCTAGAATGGACCGTAGCTGGTTTTTGTTGTTTGCTCACCGGACTCGCGTAAACCAATGGTATTCTCTTTGTGTCTTTTCTTTCGTTTTTACCATATTGTTGCATTAATTACCTTTTGGTTATTATGTTCACTGTCTAACATCAATACATTTTTTGCATTACTTCTGTTACATTTTTGTATACCATTAACCAACTTCAACATCACCACAAGTATTACCATTATCGAATAATCAAAATATATCGATTTGCTTAAGGGTTTTATGTATAATCGTTTTAAAATATTTATTTGTGTAATATTTCATTATAATAATTTATTTTATTGTACTTTTCTCCTTTTTCTGGATGACACATTTGTGTCTCAATTATTAAGTATATTAGTATTATTGTTTTTAATAGTTTTAAATATTTTAAGTGGTCTAAAAATACGGTAAACAAAATTTTGTTTAGTATAATTTTAAAAAGAGTTTTCGTATGTAGTCCACTTCAATGATAATTCTAAACAATAGTATTGAATTGAAACAGACAGTACATTTTGTTTCCCAAGGCTAATCTTCGACGAACATGATGTAAGGTATACGTCTTACAAATATAACCAAAAAAACTTGTTAGGATAAATAAACAAAACTTATTACATATAATCGTAATGGGTGGAAATACCGTTTTCTCTGTGTTACGCATCCTCAAGGATCCCTTGTGGTACAGCGCCAAGCGAACTCCGTTACCACTATACGCTCTTTTGAAGAAAGTACATACCCCAATACCGGGAAAACCATCTAAACTCGTTCCGTATTATAAATGAGCGTCAATACATCTATTAGCATATTAATATGAGGCCATCGAACCGTAGTAATATATAATCTAAAGTACTCACTGGCCGTAAACAGTTTTGTTGTTTGCAAGCAGGTATTCGATAACATGGATCTGCGAGGGCCTCGGATTACAATATAGTTTTGGACAGTTTCTTAATAGTTATTAATAGATCCCCGCGTAGGCATTTGAATGCACGCTCATTTCATCCTGTTCGAGACGATAAATCACAACACGTCGGCGAACAATAACAACCTACAGCAAACCTTTATATTTTATCAGCTATAATGAAGTGTTGTTGGTGGTGAATTGTTAAATATATGATAATTATATTAATATCGATGCATTGAACAGAACTTAAAATGTTTTGAAGTGTGAGTATATTTTCTGCTGTCACATAATCAGTGTCACCTGGAGTTGAATAATAGTTATGTCCATGATAATATCATAGTTATAGTCGTTTGAATCTCTTGCATTTCGACTCGAGACCGATTGAAACGATATCCTAGTAACTGTTTCAGAAACTCTTAGACATATGTACAATTTTGAGAAAAATTGTCTTTCGGTTTTGGTGTTGAACAAAAAATAAAATAATTAACAATAAAAGATAAAAAAAAATATCTAGATAAAATACAAATATATAAAAATATATTAGCATATATAATATAATAAAAATATACTGTTATGTCTGTTATATTATCTATTTTTTGGATTATATTTGTTCGACTAACTGCTGCTTATCCATATTAACTTAATGCAAGATGTAGTTATGAAATTAGCCATTAGGAACCGATAGTATAATAATTCCTAATACTGGTAATGTTATGCTAAACTCCTCGCCGTTGCTCAAAACCGAATAACGTGCATGTTTCCAGATACCACGTTAAGCTACAAAATGGATTCGTCCCCTCTTGACGACCCGTCCGATCAAAGTCCGCCGTCCGCGTGCGTGTTCGAGTGCAACGCCTGTCTGGTGGGTGCCTCGAAAACGATCACGGTCATGGCGAGAAACGTTGGACGTTCCGCAAAATTTGTTTGCGTCTCCGAAGACGTTTGGTATACGAAATCGGTCGAGGTAAGTGCCCTCGCTATACGTCTGTTACCCGTATTAACTGTGTGGAATGCGAGCGTGCTCGTGTGATAAAATTAGTAGGTACTGGTGGTGCGAAAACAATAGCTCGATAAACATTTTCATGTACACATTTCGATACATATGTTTTTAATAGAAGTAGATAAAATGAAAACTGTGTTTAATAATGACAATACTTTTGAGTAGGTACCTACTTGTTGTTTTGTATCGCTGAAATGTATTGATTTAAAAAAAAAAAAGAAAAAAACGAGTTAACCTCTGGAACGTGTGACACAAAAACAAGCGAATACGATATTTTGGTATATCAGTCTTTTGAACTTCAGATCAATGTATGTACTATTGCTATCGATACAACAGTTTTAAGTGACAAAGGTTAAGCAGATAGGTTTATATAAGAGAAATCTTATAAAAGTAGATTCGAACATTAATCCAAAACTATAAGCGTCCATAATCAGATCAAATTTCGTTAAAATATTTCGTAAATGTTGAAACGTTTATATGTTAGTATACATGTTATCAATTGTGGCATAGTATAATGGAAAGTGTGTGACATGATATTAATCGGAAGTGTAATGTCGAGTACGAAACTCGATTTTTTTTAGAGGTTTTTTCTTATTTCTCCGTTTTCCCAATTATTTTGAAAACTAAAGAAATTAAAGAAAAATATCTCTCAAAATATCTACTATTGTCGCATAACAGAAATCTCCTGTAATAGTGATGATTGGAGCAATCCTTGTCAAAATTGTGAACATAGACACAAAAAAACCATACATTACACCTAGTAAGACCATATATTTCTTATTTCACAAATAGTGTATTATTATAAACATATTTAATAATCATTTTTAGTGTCCAGATTACGTTAATTTCAATAATTTATTAAGTCGGGCAACTTAAAGAAAAAAAAATAATAACTGGTTAACGGTGGAATAGAGTAGGACTGTATTCAATATTATTCAATGGACGATTAATCTCTTTTTATCGTTTTTTTAAACAACCATATATTATACTTGGTATGGAAATTTCATTCTCTAATTAAGAAAACTTTGTAAATTTCAATGTTAAACAAAAAGTTAGCAGAAAAATAATTGTGTTTATAAACTGAAGAAATTCAAAGAAACAAGTAGAACTATTTATCACACTACTTGTTTTATTTAAATGTTGAATAATTAATATGGTTGTAAATAAATTGGACCCACATTCAGGTATATACATATATATGTATACGTATATATATATATATATATATATATATATATATATATATATATATAT